CATATTGGAATTTGACTTGTTCAAGTGAGCTAAAATTACGACGAAGAAGTGAGTACAAAGGCTCTTTCAAAACCATTTCTATAGTTAGTATCCGTGTTGCTTACAGCAATATATATAGGATGAAACATGCAAATCATAGGAAGATCGCGTATCAAATGTCTCTCAAATACCAAATCCTACATTAAAAAATCTAGATAATCGACGCTTCATCACTATTGAATCTGAAAAATTAGCTTAAAATTTACGACTTTCAAAGAGATGCTAATCAAATCATGATGACATTTTATAAATATAAAATAAATAATGGTAGGCTTATCATATTCATCATACGACAAAAAGGTCTATCACTCTGCGTATTCACTTCTATTTATTATGATAAGCTTAAAAGAGAGCTAGAAGAGAAATCGCCCTCGTCAGAGCAAATGACAGCGTCTATTGATCCCCAGTAAATTCTGGAGAGATTTATTTATTTATTTATTTCAAATGGCAGACTTTATGATATCTATCATTAGCTCTTAATCCTTGACTTCAGCTTTCCCCAAGAAGGGGGGGGGTACATTTATAGCCGTTAATTAATAGCAATTCATTAGCTGTCTTCTTGCTTCCCAGTATCTTTGGCTTTCCGTACTTGTCTTTAGGGCTGGACACCGAATCAGGTGGGTCTTCTCCATTACCTCATGTAGGTTACATACATGTATACTCCCAATCTGTGAAGGTGTTTTGCCAAGCAATCGTGTCCGGTACGTAGTCTAAACTCAGCAACAGCTTCGATTCTTGGCCAGTCGGGTATGTCGGAGAGTGCCACTGTCCACTGTTTCTCCTTTGTTCGAGCTTTGAGTTCGTTGTACCTTGAGGTCTGGAATTCTCTCCTGATTAAGGCCTTCATTGTGTGGAAAGACATCGGCCGGTCCATGCATTGCAAAATCGCTGTCCCCTTCTTAGCAAGTTTGTCAACTACATCAATGTCTGATAATGGATTCATGGGTAGAGAGAGGCTTTTTGTTTTGTCATCGATTTGTAATGCTTTCTTCAGTTCTATGGTTTTCTGTATTAGAACAGATTGGCTTTTCAGATGTCTTGGTCTATTCTCATAGGTGCTGAAGAACTTACCCAAGGGAATGCGCAGTAGCTTCTCGTACAGGATCAAGGCCTTTTCTTTGATAAGGGAACCTATTGCGGTGCTTCCTGTAACTAGCAGCATTGCATCAATGGGTGTTGATTTTATCCCTCCAGTAATAAGTCGTAAAGCTTGGTTGTGTGCCTTCTCGAGGGGTTTGAGAGTCACCTCTGTGGCTCTAATGAGTGGCTTACAGCAATACAACATTATTGGCTGAATAAACATCTTGTAAGTGGTGTTGAGAGTTGAGCGCGCACAGCCCCATACGCTACCAGCAAGACGCTTCAGTACATTCAGTCTATTGGAGACTCGTTCTGTTATTTTAGCAATGCGACTTTTCCTCGTTAGCTTTGTGTCAAAAGTCATTCCGAGATAAGTGAACTCATTGGTTTTTTCTATGGTAATATTCTTGTACCTTAAAAGCGGGTTTATGCTGTGATGGGCCAAAGAAAAGTTTCGAATGAAGTTTTTACAGGGTTGATTACAATTCCACTGTTGTCGCACCAATTTGCTAGTAGCTTATGTGCACAATTTAGGGCAATTTTTGTCCTCTCCTGAGCGTTTTTCTTAGGGGCCGAATACCATAGTACCAGATCATCTGCGTAAAGTAAGCACTACGGTGACTGTCTGTACCAATTCGGCTATATCATTGATGGAGTAAAGTAAACACTTGATGCCCGTGACTGTCTGTACCAATTGGCTATTCATTGTGAGGACATTGAAAAGAGTGCAGGTTGTGACAGCTTCCTGTGGACCCTGTGAAAGGCCTGTTTGTAAAGGATTGGATTTTGATAGAGCATTTAAGCTGTTTGTAAAAGATTGGATTTTGATAGAGCATTTCCAAGGCAAAAGATTGGATTTTGATAGAGCATTTCCGTATCTGAGATAGAGCATTTCCGTATCTGACTTTACACGGACCTTGTCCAATGAATGTTTTTATCCAGTTTAGCATGTTATGCTTAATATCAATCTTCGCCAATTCTATAATTAGCTTCTCTTTCCATACTAAGTCATATGCTGATTTGAAGTAGACGAAAACGGCCGTAAGGGTATTTCTTGCATCAAGGGCATTTTTGATGTGTTGGGAGAAAGTGGCTACTTGTTGATATGTTGATCTTTGTGGCCTAAAACCCGCTTGTTTACTCCTAAGAATATTTTTAGTCTCTAGGAACCAGGTCAGCCTCCTGTTAACCATTCTTTCCATTACAGTGTGCCTCCTGTTAACCATTCTTTCCATAAATTTAGCCAGCACGCTTGTGGGAAGACAGGCCTATAGTTGTCAAAGTTGCTAGGGTATTTGCCCAGTACTGGTATTACTATGGCAACTTTCCATTGGTTAGGTACGAGACTGGTCTCCTAGATTTTTTAAAGCGTCAGCATGGTTTCCTTGGCTTTTGGTCCGTCTAATTAGAAATTCTGGATGAATACCGTCTTCGCCATGAATTAGAAATTCTGGATGAATACCGTCTTCGCCAGGAGAAAAGCGTTAGCATGGTTTCCTTGGCTTTTGGTCCCATTCTTAATTATACATTCCGGATGAATACCAGGAGACTCTTTGCACTTGAGTTGTTTTATCGCAGCATGTGAATAGCGTCTTCGCCAGGAGACTTCTTGCACTCGAGCTCTCCCATTCTAATTAGAAATTCTGAATGAATACCGTCTTCGCCCGGAATTTTTGCACTTAAGCTGTTTTATCGCAGCATTGAGTTCGTGTTTTGTACTTGAACTGTTTTATTGCAGCATTAAGTTCGCAAGGTGTGAATGGTTCAGTAAGTACATTATTCGGTGTTGTCGTGACTTTCTTAATTTCACCCAACTGTCTTACTTGTATATTTCAATCTCCTGAAGATTTTCTGACAAAAGAGTTTTTCTTTTGCTTGGGGAAATAGAACCTCGCAAAAGAGTTAGCTATTTCGGTGTCGGTGGTAAGCAATTTGCTGTTTAAGCGTATTGGTTCTTTCTTTTGTCTTTCTCTGTTGTTTTGGATGTTCTTTCTTGGGTCTTTCCTTGTTGTTTTGGAGGTTAACCTATCGGTGGTAAGCAATTTGCTGTTTAAGCGTATTGGTTCTTTGTCTTTCTCTGTTGTTTTGGAGGTTACCCAGGAATTTGAATCACTCTGTTGTTTTGCAGATTTCTCAGAAATTTGAAAGTGCGCCATTGTTGTTTTGTAAGTTTCTCAGAAATTTGAAAGTGCGTTGACTATCACCTTGATAGTTGGTATTTGAGATGAACTTGTCGAAGGAGGTGCGTTTAGCATGCAAGATGGCTTGCCTTAGGACAGCTGATTGTCGTCTCCAGGCTTTTACGTCTTCCGTTCTTCCAGTCAGATCAGCAGTGTTGCGAAGGTCGTCCCTCTTTTTTTTCAGTTCCTCAAGGTGTTTAAACCATAACACTCGATAGCGTTTAGTCTTGCCTCGAGGAATAGTTTTCTTTGCACATCTAACCATAATATTCGTGATATCAGTGCAAAGTTTGTCAGGATGTTGGTTGAAGTTGAGGGGAATTGTGTTAAGTTCATTCTCTAAAAGGTTTGTGAATCTAGACCAGTCAGCCTTCTTGAAGTTCCATGATAGCTTAGTTGGCAATTTCCTTGACATGCTTTTGCTGCCGATGGTAATACTACCAATAACTGGTTTGTGACCAGAACCAGGATCTTCAGTTATTTTGCGGTGTGTATGCTCACTGATGTCCCTTGAAGCCAAGAGTAAATCAGGCTGCTCACTGATGTCCCTTGAAGCCAAGAGTAAATCAGGAGTTGTTCTGGTTTCATTGTAGTGCATATATGTAGCCCGATCCTCATTGCTGTAAATAAGTTCCAGAGGGTTGCTGTTTAGCATGTCTTCAATTTCCTTTCCAGCTATGTTTGTATCCATGTATTTCAATTTCCTTTTCAGCTATGTTTGTATCCTTGTAGCCCATGGAGTGGGCGTTGTAGTCTCCTAGTATTATGGTTTTGTGTGAGATGTTCAGAATATCAAAGTTGGGGCAATTCTGGGTAGGATTATAGACTGCATATATCTTGAAGTGGTTTTAACATTGGTTATAGACTGCATATATCTTGAAGTGGTTTTGACATTTCCCAGACTGCATATACCTTGAAGTGGTTTTGACATTTCCAAACGAAATGCATATATCTTGAAGTGGTTTTAACATTTCCAAACATTTAGTCTGATTATTTCACGTATGTCTTGTGTCGAGCCCATCCCCTTCATTAGATCGTAGTGTAAGGTGAGGCCTTCTTTAATTCTAGTTAGAATTCCACTTGCAACTTGCCGGTATTCAGGTAGATTGTACAGGGTGTAACCTGGGAATCGGTTGTACTTCAGTTTGTCATCCAAAATGTTAGCTTCCATAATTCACTTCAGTTTGTCATCCGAAATGTTAGCTTCCATAGTTGTATTCAGTTTGTCATCCGAAATGTTAGCTTCCATAATTGTGAAAATGTCTACATCATAGGTTTGCAGCCTTTTCTGTACCTCTGTATGGATCATTTTGTCTGGAGACATTGCTCCAGCATTCCACTGGAGGATCTGAAGACGTCGTGATTCAATCATAATAAATTGCTACATTGTGATTCGCCCTGACGAGAGCAATTTCTCTTATAGCCTTTTTTAAAGCTCTGCGAGGGCGATTTTTCTTATAGCCTTTTTCAAAGCTAATAAGGGCGATTTCTCTTATAGCCTTTTTTCAATCTAATCATAATGTTTTCTTATAGCCCAAAGCTAATCATAATTAATCGGAATAGCCTTTTTTAACGCTAATCATAATAAATCGAAGTCAAAACGAATGCCGAGTGTAATCGAAGTCAAAACTACATTGTGATTCGCCCTGACGAGAGCAATTTTTCTTATAGCCTTTTTTAAAGCTAATCATAATAAATTGAAGTCAAAAACGAATGCCGAGTGATAGACTTTTTTGCCGTAATAAAATACGTTGTCCAGGGTGTACCACGTGGAGGTAAGTCTATCGCGCACCCAATTCCCAAATATATGTTTTTTCACTATTTACGACCTCTCATTTAATGTGGCGTTGATTTCCATGAACAATAATCATTCAAAATTTTTGTCTCATCAAAAAGAGTATGCAAGCCAAGTCTGATATGCCACAACCTAATCTACTTTCCCCAACTCTCACTTGTCATAAACTAGCTCAAACGTGTGATATAAGTGCATCAGCGAGGCAGTTTTACATTTTACAATTTCAACATCACATAATGAGTCATCTCCACTTCAATATCAATACCACATTTTAATAGAAATTCATTCAGTTAGTCGAGCAAATTTATAAATTCCCTTATTTCTATTCAATGCAACGTCACTATATGGATAAAAAAATTTTACTTTCATTATGTTACCAATGCGAGTGTTTTGAAAAATGCAATAAAGTTGGAAAATAATCACTACAAATTATTGTGTAATATGTGACCTTTCTTATTTAAAATAGGCCAAACAGTGACCATCGGTGCCTACACCAACCTACGCACCAACAATATATTGTTTATAATAATATTAGTAATAAAAATAGTTTGCCTTCTACATTCAGACAGCCAGAAAGGAATACATTTGGTTGGATGATTCTGGATCTTGCAGAATGTCGAGGTCTTACGTTTAATCACATCTCAGATTCACCAACTTATCATTCTCTTTGCAAGTAATGTTTATCAAATTTAATTAACTCGAATTAACCATGAGTTTGGCTATTGGCTCATGGGCGAAACTTGCAATTATATGCATGAGCCAGTTTCCTCTAAATGTTCATAGCTGGCAATTCCGATTAACTAGATATAAAAAGTGCATTGAGGTTGTAAATTTAGTCATCCTTAGTGATTAATCAATTAGCAGATGTAATATTGCATGAAAAGGAGGAGTTGAACAATGAATGTCATAATTTTGGGAGAAATAATTGATGCAAGGACAGCCTTCCTTTCTAAAATTATTGCAGATTTTTACCTTTAACCCCGTACTTTGCGGTTGAAGTGTTGGTCACACTATATTGCCTTGTAGCGTCTTATTTACCGTTTGTGTGTCTACCGCTCATTCAATGATTTACAATGCAGAATTACACAATCCCAGCAATGGTTGAAGAAGATCTTTAGCACATAATCAATGTTGAAAGTAATATGATTGATTTATATAACTGGAAAAGGCTGGCAAATCGGTTTTTCTGAACTTTAATACATGGAAAAAATTCCGTGGACAAGATTAACCACATGGCGGTTACTTTTAAGCAAAAAAGCAAGTGATAACAATATGTCCTTTTATCATGAAGTGTTAAATCAATAGATCTAG